ACTTCCCAGAGTGCACCAGCAGCAAACCGGCTGCTTGTCACCTGATTATAATTGTCACTGATTTGGAGCACCTGAAAAAGCATGGAGGTTCTCAGTCAGTCAGAAAAAAACAAACTTCAGAGAGAAGAGGCTCCAAGTTCACTCGTAGGTTCAGTCCAAAGACGCCAATGGTCTGTAATATGTTTATTTACTTTCATGGTGTTTGTGCTTAATATGTTTGAGCTATGTTTAACTGCTGTGTAGATGTTAAGTAACACATTGCAGCATTTCCTTCATTTATTTTGTGTTTGTGCTAAAATAATATTACATTGAGTTTGAAAAAAATTAAGAATATAAGATAAAAAAGGATGGTATAAAGTTAAAAGTGGTAAAATTTGATTAATGAAATCATTTTTCTTTATTCCATCTAAAAGGCTTAAGTGGTTAATTAATTTAAAAAGCATTAATGTTTGATTAAAATGTTTGAATAAAATTGTAACTTTTGTTCTCTGTCTTTAAAGGTTTACAACCTAATTTGCTGAACAGCACAATCAACTGACAAACCAAAAGAAAAAGAAAAGTGATTGAGTCGGAAATTTGAGTTGTCCTTGTGTCCTTTGGAAGTCGAAAAAGAGTAGGACTTGACCGTAGTGAATCATCCAACAAGGGGAATTACAGGGAGTTCACAGAAACATTAGCTAAATATGACTCTTTCCTGTCCACACAATTCAAGTCCTCAACTGTGTTTTCTATGTCCCATACTATTCAAAATTACTTGATCTCTGCTCTAACAGCCACTGTTTCTGATCAGATCAGAGATGATATTCAGGATGCTCCCTTTTTTGGATGGCAGGATGAAACAACTGAGGCCGTGCCCAACTCGCTGTCATTGTGGATAGTGCAGGTAAAATTCAGGAGCGCTTTATTGGATTTTTTAATGTTTCTGGGGGGCGAGATGCTCAGTCCGTTTTTGATGTATTAAATGAGAGCATGCAGGGCTACAGTTTTAAGGACAAGCTTGTGGCACAGACCTATGATGGGGTTGCTGTCCTGGCTTCAGCTCTCAGTGGTCTGCAGGTCAAAGTGAAACCAATATCCCCCAGTGCAATGGGTTTGTGCATTGCTATGCACACAGACTGGATCTGGTGCTGTCACAGGGGGCTAAATGCTTGCCTGAGTGCAGAATTTTTTTGCATCACTCTCTGGGTTTGCCACATTTTTTTCAAAATCCACTGTTACGATTCTTCTTAAAGATCGCAACAAAAGATCGCAAACGCCACACAATCGCTGCGTATATAAACCATAAGATTTATTTACATAAAGTAAGTAACATGTGGTGTCAAGGGATCAGTATAAATGTTAGTTAGTGTGTCAGCATGTATTTGTACGTGGCAAGCTCAAGTGATGTCAGTTCAACCAAACATAACCAAAACATAATCAAAAAGTCCAAATCAGAAGATCGTCAGCAGGGGAAGTACATCACATCAGCTCTCCGAAGCGATTGTGCTCTCCCGTGACCCATATGTCCTGTGAGCTCTCTGGAAGTTCCCAGAGCTGCAACAACACCCGCGAGCCATCGAACTCCCGTCTCTGTTTGACCCAGTGTCTTTTAAAACACCATAATCTGGTTCAGGTGTAAAGCCACGCCTCCCGGCAATCAGCCTGTAACTCAGGGACAAAACACACGAGCACTCACTGCACAAACACTCATTGAACCGTCACACACCCCCCTTTAAAAGATCCAATATCTTATGAGGATCCTCAGAACTTCTCAAAAAAAATTCTGAAAAATAAAATAAACAGATCATACTTTCCTTTCAAAACATTCTTTATGAAGTCCGATTCTTGTGTTACCAGTGTTTTCCCACAGTCACCTCTAATCTCCTAGATTACTCAGTTTATTTCCAGCAATCTGGATCCTGAAAGCATATTAAGGCAACAAACAGAGCGCACAGAAAAATAGTAACAACTGTTAAAACACCTACAGTACACCATTCAATCTACTCAGGAACACGAGATAACGCATCTGCCACTACGTTATCAGTTCCCTTGATGTGTTTTACAGTTAAACTGTAAGGCTGCAAAAAAAGAATCCAGCGCATTAACCGTTGACTCGGAGACTGTAAAGAGTGTAAAAACGTTAAAGGGTTATGATCAGAAAAAACCTCCACAGGTAATCCGCCCCCCACGCACACATCAAAATGCTGAAGAGCCCAAATTAAGGATAATGCTTCCTTCTCTATTACAGAATAGTTCCTTTGGTAAGTATTAAACTTACGAGAAAAAAAACTTACAGGATGGTCAAGTCCACTCTCACCAGTCTGTAATAGGACGGCTCCAGCACCAATCTGGCTTGCATCTACTTGTATCTTAAATGGCTTATCCAGCCTAGGGGCAGCTAAAACAGGAGCAACAGTTAACAACATTTTAACATGTTCAAACGCCTTCTGACAATTTGTACTCCAAACAAAATTGACAGCACCCTTAAGGAGATCAGTTAACGGAGAAACAACAGTTGAAAAATTTAGGCAAAAACCCCGGTAATACCCAACCATCCCTAAAAAAACGCATCAACTCCTTCTTTGTTGATGGAGGAGGAAATTGTTGAATAGCCGCCACTTTAGCTTGAACAGGACGCACCTCACCCTGTCCAACTTCTTTTCCCAAATATCTGACAGTACCCTTTGCAAACTCACATTTTGCCAAGTTAACTGTCAGACATGACTCAGCTAAACGCAGCAGAAGCGCACGGAGATGTACCAAATGTTGTTCCCATGTATCACTGAACACAATAACATCATCCAAATATACCGCACAACCCTCCAGGCCGAAGACCACTTTATTCATCAATCTCTGGAAGGTTGCGGGTGCATTTCTCAAACCGAAACTCATAACAGAGTAAGAATATAACCCTGATGGTGTAATGAATGAAGTTATCTCTTGAGCTCTGGGAGTTAAAGGCACTTGCCAATATCCCTTTAGAAGGTCTAATTTGCTTACGAACTTCGCAGACCCCACCTGATCCACACAATCCTCCATACGAGGAAGTGGAAAAGCGTCAGGCTTAGTAATAGCGTTTAATTTGCGGTAATCAGTGCAAAATCTATAAGTAGAATCTGGCTTTTTTACCAACAAGCATGGTGAAGCCCAACAGGAGCATGAAGGAACAGCAATCTCATTATCAAGCATATACTGAACCTCTGACTCCAACACATTCCGCTTGTTGATAGGAACCCTATAAAAACGCTGACGGATAGGTCTCGCCTCTCCCACATCCACATCATGCTGGATCAAATGCGTACGGGTGGGCACATCTGCAAACAAACTAGGAAAATCAAACAACAACTCTATCAATTCTGATTTTTTTAACTCTGACAAATGTGCCAACAATGCATCTAGACTCTGAAGGGTCTCTGAATTCTTTAACCTTGGAAGCAAAACACAGTCTCCAGGTACAATCACATCCTCCCCTCCCTCTACAGAAAAAGGTTGAGAAGTATCCAGAGGGACAGCAGCAACAGTAACAGCTGGATTAACCAGTTGAGTGTCAGATTTACGAGAATGATAAGGCTTAAGTAAATTTACGTGAAAACACTGTTTAGCCTTACGCCGATTTGGAGTTGCAATTTGATAATTTTGGTCAGTCATTTTTTTAAGAACAGTATACGGACCAGTAAATCGTGCGCAAAACGGAGATCCAGATGAAGGTAACAAAACCAACACCTGATCACCCGGCATAAAAACACGGCTTTCGATATGTTTGTCAAAGTGTTTCTTCATCTTATCTTGTGCTCCGACAAGATTTTTCTGAGCACTCATTCCAGCTAAAAATAAGCGTCTACGGAAACCATCTACATATTCCAACAAATTCTGAGGAGGATCCTTTTCAACCAATCCTTCCCTCCAAACAGAAAGAGGACCCCGTACACTGTGACCAAATACAAGATCATTCGGGCTAAAACCCAAACTCTCCTGTTGTACCTCTCTAGCTGCAAGTAATAACCAGGGTAAACCCTCCTCCCAGTCACGATTCAACTCCACACAGTAAGCACGTAGTAACGCTTTCAATGTTTGGTGAAACCGTTCCAGCGCACCTTGACTTTGGGCGTGATATGGGCTTGACCTTAATCACTCTCAAAATCTCAGCAAACATACGTGAAGTAAAATTAGACCCTTTATCGCTCTGAATAATCTTCGGTATCCCAAAAATAGAGATAAATTGGGTTAACGCTTTCACAACTGCTTTAGTTGTAATTCTTCTAATCGGATACGCTGCCGGGTATCGAGTTGTTTGGCACATCACAGTCAGCAAATATACATTACCTGATTTAGATTTAGGTAATGGACCCACGCAGTCAATTATTAGGTGCTCAAAGGGTTTACTTGTGACCACAATAGGACACAAAGGCACCGGTCTCAAAGACTGATTCGGTTTCCCTGTTAACTGACAGGTATGACATGTTGTAATAAAGGCCGAAATATCTTTTTTCAGACCCGGGCAATAAAACTGTCTCAAAACTCTGTTGTACGTTTTATTTACTCCGAAATGACCAGCAACTTCACCATGTGAGACTCGCATTACCACCTCTCGAAATTGCTTTGGCACCACTACTTGAATTACAGATTCCTCAATCAAACCCTTCGCACAGGGAATAAATTTCCTCAAGAGTAGCTCATCTTGGATAAAATATCCACTGGCAGCACTTCTTACCTCCTGCGATGGAATAACATTCTCAAACAGTTGTTGTAACCCAGGATCGTTCTGTTGTGCAGTCATCAGCTCCCTATGAGTAATAGGAAAAAGAGTAGACAAACCCGGCACAACACAATTAAACAATTCTTTCTCTTCACAAGATGCCTCACGACTCCTCGAACGAGTTACTGCACACGTTACAAATACCTCAGGGAATTCTTGCTTTAGCACATCAGACTCTTCCATCAACGGAGTGGGCACTACCACAGGTGGTGGAATTACCTCTCGCCATACCCTATCTCCAGCTAAATTATTCCCCAATATTACCATGACAGTGGACTGGTGGGGCTTCGCTTATGCTGCAGCTCTTGCTCTGGGGGGATTCATGGGATATAAAAGAAAAGGTATGAATTGTGCTGTTGTTGTTTTCATGCACCTTTCGAATTGAGCATGTGCAGCTAAATATTGCAGATATGGAGATATTGAATCTAGTGCTGGACTCCCACAGGGAGTGTGGTGTCATTAATCGCTGGACTCTTCTTTGGAAGTGTGTCTGCATACGGAGCCTTTCGGATATCAAATGATCCACAGGATTACTGGACCTCTTTAAGTATAAAAATCTCCCTTCTTTAGAAATACTCAGCAAATGTAGGCCTACTTTACACAGCTTTGAACTTTCTCTTTCATTGCTTTTTCTTATAGTGTCTGCTGGCGTACTTGCAGTTGTGATGGGAATGAGGTTCAGGAAATCTGGGAAATTAATGCCTGCAGGGATCATGGCAGCGCTGAGGTAAAGTGGCATTGTTAACTCTTTCACAGTTACAAATATACTATATTATTGTGTTCAGACGTATCAAAATATGGCTAGTACAGCTTTGAAATCTTTCAAAACCCTTGAAAACTTTTATTCATGAATTATTGAAATATAGCCTATATGAAATTGGTGTTAAATTTTTTTTATTAAACAATATTTTCATGCAAAATGAATGCGGGAGCCTGTTTGATATAGATAGGCTATATAAAGACATTTCACATGGCTATGAGCGTGATATTCCTCATATAAATATCCAAGTATATGATACAGCTTAGTTTGAATAAGGAAAGCGATATCTTTGTTGTATCCCTTTCATTGGTTAAAGCTGCCAGTCATTGCATGTGCTGCACTTTATTTGTACCATTTTGTTTTATTAATATATAGATTATAGATTAATATAATTATCTGTTTACCTTTTTTTAGAATTTGAAAGATAATGATGATATTGTTTGATTAGTGACATCTCTGATTGTAGTCCTCGAAAACCAAAAAAAGTAGTGCCAGAAAAGTCCTGCAATTTCATTTTACAGTATCTGCATGAACTTTACATTTGACTTTTCTTCTACATTTATGGAAGAAGTAAAAATCTAGTTGAAAATACCATGTTTCAAGTCATGTTTTCCCCACACTGTTTTTTATTTTACCACATGAACACAAGGAAGACTGATCGAATATTGTCTTTTATTTATATGCTCCATAGTAGTTAAGATCAAAATTATTACTAGAGCAAATACATGTGAAATGAACAGGAGACGTGCAGCTGAGGATCTGTCTGATGTCTGCTCTTATTTCAGCCTCCTGATGGTTTTCCGGATTCTGATCTTCTAAGTGATCACTGGGACCTTCCAGACAACATGTACTGAACAGCTGCGATGTTCATTTCACATTATTATAACTGTATCTTGTACATTCCAAATAAATCTGTCCATGTTCGCGTGTCAGTTTTAATAAAGAAGCTTGTAAGTTAGTTCACTTCTACTTAAAGCCGTGGCTCAACACCTCCTTCACGGTGTTCACGTACACCTCGTCAGGCGGAGGCTTTCTCGCACTGCCCGGCTGCAGGAATTTGCTGATTCTTGGTAAGGCCTTCATTTTCCCCTGGAACGCCTGCGAGACAAATGAAAAATTATATAAAATCATAATCATGCTGCTAAAAAAAAGAGGAATTATGGGTTTGATTCATGGACTGAATTGGTCAGGCAACTCACTAAACTTATTACTGTATATCTGACAATCAATACTGTGTTTTTTTATTTGTGTTAAATATAAATTTGAAGGTTTAATGAAACTTAACTTCACTCTATTCTGACTGTTTGACTGCCAACGTTTAAAGATACAGACATGCTCACAAAAAGAACTAAAATGTATGTTGAAAAATGGGGTCCCGCTTTATATGAAGTGTCTTTAACTACTATATACTAACCTTTTAATGAATCATTTGATGCAATGCAGTATGCACTTATTGTGTACATGCATGTTTTTACAGTATTGTACTTATATGTAAAAATACCTGCATTTAATTACAGCTGTAATTAATAACATCTGTAATTACACTGTTGACCCACTCTTAATCTCACCTGTATCCTCCTCAACATCAACACTATAAGATCACTGTACCTGATATAATTACTTTTTTGATGCAAATACATAGTAGTTAAAGACACATAATATAAAGTGTGACCAATAATGGTATTGTTAAGTCCAATTTTGGGGTTGATGGTGTGTGTGGGAAAGCGTGGAACAGATCACCTGGACTTTGGGAAAGGTTGACAGTATTGTAGGGAATAACTCCTGCAGCATCAGAGAGGCTTCCAGAAGATGAACATCAGCGCGGCTCAACTGGTTTCCCACCAGGAAATTAGAGTTTGCAAGACCCTAAAAAAGTCATATCAGAAACGGCATGATTATGTGGATAATAAATGCTTCAAAATATGAGGAGTCAGAGCTATCAATACCTTTTCAAACACGGGGAGGAAGCGCTCTTTTGCCTTTTGCTCTATATTACTGAGACTTTTCTGCTTGTTTTCAGGAGGTGTAAAAGGAGACATCATTAAAAGATCCATTAGATCACTAAGGCCCTCTGCATACATGTCAATCCTAAAGGACAAAAATACAGTGATAATTGCTTAGGTGTGGTGGAAAAACAAGGAATCTTATTTAAAATAACGGATTACTGGAATCTAGTTTCATAACAGTCACGGAACAATTTGCATTAAAAGTTGATATTTACAAAGCCCGTTCTTTAAGGTCTTTTCCGTAGAGGTTGTATTTTCCAGCGATGTAATTCAGGATAGCCCTCGACTGCACAAGCTGTATCCCATCTATCTCAACCAGAGGAACCTGCTGAAACATCAGGGCTCCCTCTGCAACCAACATAGCAATCACATTCATAATAATAATATACATTATGCAATAGTATATACATAAAACAAGAGATGACTGATGAGGAATTTACTGAACTTACCATTCACCAGTTTTTCATAATGCTCCCTCTTGGTCAAAAACACCTCCTCAAACTGTGAACACAAGAACGCATTGATCTCTGTCATATGCAAACAAACTATATTTATTGCGCATGCTGAAGAAAAAGTTACATGTAAAGTGTTAATCGAGTTCCACTTGCAAATTGCAACTGCATTTCTTTTTGTATAAGACGTCACGTGGTCAAAAACACCTCCTCAAACTACAAGAACAAAATGAAAGTATTGATCTCGAGATCACATTACAATGCACACATTCAATTTCTAAAGCAGGTGTTTTGTGATCGTCATATGCAAATAAACTACATTTATTAGGAAAAAGTTACATATGTAAAGTGTTAATCGATTTCCACTTCTTGCACCTGCATTTTTTTGATAGACGTGGAGAAGTTTTCCAGAGCAACTAACCTCGACTCCAGCCGCGGCCAAAAGCCATCGGATCGACTCCATTTTCCCTCTTCCATCGAAGTAATGCAACACAACTTTCTCAGACATTTTCACAAAATAAAGCGACACTTCAGTACAAAACGTTTTTCTGCGGTGTGTGTGTGTGTGTGTGTGCAGTGCTGTGCTGGCTGTTTATGTGGACTGTGTTGTGTAATTCGTGGGTGGTGCTGCATCGGGACAAAGGGCTCAAACTTACACCCACTGTCCCACACGCACATCTACAGGAATATTGTTGTGAATATGCTGCTGATATCACTCGAGGCATGTAAATAACACAGTTGCACTGCTTCCTGGGTCAGTTTTCTACAGCTCAAACTGTCCAGACAAGCGTCTGCTGATCGAATGAATGAAAAATAAAGTAAAAATGCTCCAGCAGTGATTAAATGTTCATTTATGTACGTAGGCTATCTAGACTAATTTCAATTATTATTTTTTTAAATGCTACGTCATGCTAGTTTATGACATTATCCCTAGCCATTTATGCACTTCACTATGACTGGTCAAATTATAATTGTGACTCATAACGTAATGAACTGAGTCACGATTACTAAGCAGAAAAGTGGACAAAGAATCTTTCTGTAAAGTACGTTAATAACTTAAAGACATTGTGCACATATTTTGGTAGCCTACGTGTCATTTTCATGTAAACCTTTGGTTTGCCAATACAAATGATATTTTAGATAGTTACAATTGTTAACAATAATAAATTAAAGGGATAGATCATCAGCTAAAAATGAAAATTCTGTCATAATTCACCCACTCTCAAGTTGTTTTAAACCTGAATGAGTTTCTTTCTTCTGTTGAATACAAAAGTTTCGATACGGTTCACTTGTACTGCGTCGCTAGGCACATTGGGGAAACTTCTCTTTCTCAGATTACTGAAGCCTTATATAAAATAAAAAATGCGCAAACCAGACGCGATTTCTGCAAGGGAAGCTCGGCTTCCCCTATAATGTCAAAACAATAATGGTCAAATATGTAACGAGTTTAAACAGTTTAAAATATATGTTTATATATAATTAATTTTAACGAATTATAATTAATTATAAATATTTGAATGTTTTAGCAGAATTAATAGTGCAATTATTTAATCAATTTAATTTAGGTAGCTAGATCAAGATGTTTAAGTGACTGATATTTTTGTGAGTGGCAAACACAGAGACAAAAAAGTGTGAATGTAATGGTTTAATAAACGAAACTACGGTAGGCTACACCAGTGGTTCCCAAACCTGTCCTCAAGGCACCCCAACACTGCACGTTTTCTTTATCTCCCTAATCAAACACACCTGATTCAACTCATCAGCTCATTAACCCATGTGATAACCACAACCTACAAGAGAAACAGAGAATCAGGGTCACCTTAAAGGGCCACAATAACTTAGAAACGCATCTAAAGGCTGCACACGGGTACTTGCATTGACTTCAGTTGCTGAAGTCCAGATGCAGGAGATTCGTGAGATTCTTGATGATTCAGGAGTGCGCTGAAGCGTTCGTTTGGGTTCTTGGGGTTGGTCTGGACACCCCAAGGGTCGTTAGGTCTGATTACCAAATGTAGACGTTCTGACCCGGAAAAGGAAGTAAAACAGCACGAAATGCAATGGATGCAGATGCAAATAAAATTATCCAGTGTTTTGCTTTCCACAATATTTTGAAAAGTCATCAAAACATTGGTCTCGTACGGCAGAGAAAAAAGAGGAGAGCCCTTGTTGGCACTGTAGCCACGAGCACTTAAACCCGTGCCTCCCCATATCTCGTGAAATGTCTTCAAACACGGATTTATTTCTGTAACAACCCTGCCTTTTTGCCTGTACTGTCTCTTCGCCCCAAACACTCAAAAGACATGAAACCTCAGCATTGCCCCACTGTGTGTATCCTTCGTCCTCCACCGTGCCTATAAGTCATGTGATCTCAGTTGGTGGTGTCCACCTGAGTTGACGTCACTTTTTTAATGACGTACGACTCGCATTTACTGGGGAATATCCGATTTGTCTGCTTACAAATGCACGTATCCGATTCATATCCGATTTATTACCACATATGAGTGAGGCCTGAATCCGATCTGAGAAAATCGAAATACATGCGTTTTTTCCCTGCTTACACATTCACCTGGTCATATACGATCCGGATTTGGGTCACTTGAACCATGCGTAAATGGGGCCTAAGTCATGGGCAAGATCAGGGTTGAGCATCATTGAGTTGAGCATGCAATCAGTGAAGGTGGTTGCATTCAAGTGGCTAAACATAATGAAACAGTCAAACAAAACTGCCTTATTGAGGTGACATCCTTGCTTGGCCTGCAGGAGCTGTCATGTAGGGGACATGATGAGAGTAGTTGTTGAGCTGAATCTCAGGAGTGATTATGAAAGAACTTCACTTCCCAGAGTGCACCAGCAGCAAACCGGCTGCTTGTCACCTGATTATAATTGTCACTGATTTGGAGCACCTGAAAAAGCATGGAGGTTCTCAGTCAGTCAGAAAAAAAAAAAACTTCAGAGAGAAGAGGCTCCAAGTTCACTCGTAGGTTCAGTCCAAAGACGCCAATGGTCTGTAATATGTTTATTTACTTTCATGGTGTTTGTGCTTAAAGGCACACTATGCAAGAATTGTACCTTGATATAACAGCTTCAAAGTCATTTCGGTGGTAAACAAACTCATAGTAGGGCGAATCATCGTGGTAATAAAGCTTGGCGGGGTCGCCGCTGGAAAAACCAGGAATGCAAGTTTGAGAGGAGCGCCCCCGACAAATCTCGCGAGAATCACGACTTGCTTTACGGCAACGACGTCACACACATCAACAACGATGTCACACACATCAACAACCACATATGAAGCACGAAGACACTTGCGTGCATTTCAGACGTGATACTTGACGATGGAAAAAGCAAAGAAAACGCGGTCGGAAGAGACTTGGAAAAGGAAAAGAGAATCTGACCGCGTGAGGAACCGGAAAAGAGTCCCTGATTCGCCCTCGCTATGTGTGTGCGTGTTGTGTGAGTGAGCGCGAGGGCGGGCGCGGCTGATGAGCTGATCAGCGCCAGCT